AAAACTGTTTGGAGGTTCCTCAAACTGCTAAACATGGAGCTTCCCTGCGACCCAGCCATCCCACTCCTAGGTATCTAGATGGGAAACCCACGGGGATTACAATTGAAATGGAAAAAAAAATGTACAAAATGATGTAAAAATAAACTTTTGTAAAAGAAAAAAAAGAAAAGAAACCCAGAGACTAGAAGCGTCTGGTTTATTAAGAGCATCGTTCTGCTCGAGAAACCACAGGCTGGGTGAGCTCTACTGTGCCTTTCTGTTTGGTTTCCACCACCGAGTTTTGGGTTTGCTGAAGGAGCAGGGACTCAATCACCAGGGGTGGATGGAGGAGGCCGCACATCACCCCGAGACCCCGGGCTGGACTAGGGCTCTAGCCTGTCTCTCCACGCGACTTGTGGAAGACAGATATGTGGGTGCCCGACGGACAGGCTTCTGGGCAGACTGCCGTCCGTCCCTCCAACACTGATCCCCCACCAGAGTGACAGAGCTTCGGAGGTGCGCGTGGCCTGAGGCGAGGGGCCACATTTCCCCGCCTCTCTTGCTCTACGTGGGAGCACGTGACTCGGCCTGGCTGGCGCCTGCCAGGGCAGGCAGGTGTGAGGCTCGCAGCCAAGCCCTCCCTGCCGCCTGGGAAGTGCGCAGGACGCGAGAGAGGTGGCCCCCGGCAGAGTGGGGCGGCCGGGGTCCAAGGCCCAGACACGAGCCCGGCCCTCCGCTGGCCCTGGGCCACGGGGTAGCTCGCGAGGGAGAAGCCGAAGCGCCTCCTCTAAGTCAGTGTAGGCTCCGTGCTGGACAGACGGAGTCACACGGCGCCAGGGCCCTCGGGGACCTGGAGGAGACGCTGAGCGGGACAGCGTGGGCGAGAGGCCCGCGGGGCTGGTGAGGCAGCTGTCCCCGACTTGAACTTACTGTGCCCCGTTGCTCCCAGAAGTGCCGCCCCCCCAGCCTAGGGGTCTCCCCAGGGGCTCAGCGTGTGGGAAGCTTTGGGGCCTCTGTGGTCCCACTCTGGGCCGACCCCGTCTGCCTGGACATTTACGCACGGCGGGACGGTAGCTTTGGGGGCTTGATTTGAGTTGGGTGTTTCTCGGGAGACCCTTTAGACCAGATTCTTGCCCTTCTCTTCCTTCCTTTGCACCCTAATTGCATTAACGCTCCTGTCCACGGGCGGTCTTGTGCTCCAGGAGTGTGTTTGGTCTTTATGGGGTGATGGCAGAGCGACGTGGAGCGGGCAGGTCCAGGGGCCCCAGAGTGCCCCTCTCCTGCCTTGTAGCAACTCCGGTCCTGCTACGGGGCGGGGGGAGGGGCACCCAGAACCCCGAAACCTGCCCCCTCAACATAGGCTCTGCCATCTGCCGCATCAAGGCCAAACATTAAGACCTTTAGTGGAAAAGAACTTTAATACAATTAGCGGGCAATGAAGAAGGGGGTGGGGGTGGGGAAGGCTGGCGGGGACCCCTGGAAGGGGCAGAAGGAGCCAGAGAAGCGTGGGAGGAAGACAGCAGGTGAAAACCAAGCTCAACGCTGCCCCAGTCACGGCCCCGCGGCCGCTCCCCCACTGTGCCCACCGCCCGGGCGTCCAGGGCAGCTGCCCACGGGCCCCCCAGGCCTCCTTCCTGCCGTCCAGCCATCGCCTTCCTTCGCAGTCTCCTCTCCAGCTTCTCCCCCACCCTCCCTGGGGTGGGCAGGGAACCTGGCACCTCCCCTCTTCCCTGGCCCCCCACCCCACCCCGTTAGGGTCTGAGCAGTTAAGGAACAGAGACCCAGGCCCAGCTTTACAGGGTGGGGCCAGCAGCCGCTCGTCCCAGGACAGGATCGAGAGTCTGGACACAGCGTGGCCCCGGGAGCCCCCAGACGCCGTCCACTCGGGTGTAACCTGTCGGCCTCGGCCGGCACGAGCGCGCACGGCAGGTGTGTCAGGTGGGCCCCGCTGCGTGTGTGTGTGTGTGAGAGAGCCCACACTGACGTCCTCCCAACCACAACCTCGTCTCACCACACAGTTCTCAGAACGCCCCCGCTGTTACGCGACAGGCGGCTGTGTCACCCAGACACCTACGCCTCTGAGAAGCCACTTCAGAGCCGGGGCGTGTGGGCAGTGTGGTTTGCAGGCCGTGTCCGCCCAGAGCGACTCCGGAGCGTGGTCGGAAGGAGCCGGGCTCTCTAACTAAACAAGTTCACGGAGCCGCTAACGAGAGGCCAGGTCAGACCAAACCGCCCCCACCTCCGCCGGGAAGTCACAGCCGCCGACCGCCCGGCCCTGCGCACTCGCCCGGCCCTGCGCACTCGCCCCGGGAGGAGGGGCCGGCGCACTGGGGGTTTTTCCCAATGCCACAAAACAAAAAAGAACCCAAAAAGCAGAAAAGGGAAGCACCTTGCTAAGAACTCCCTGAGTCACATCTCTAGCGAGCTTCCAAACCAGAGGCCACGCGTGGGAACACACCTGCAGCCCTCCAGAGAGCCCGGGAGGCTGGACCTCCCGAGGGCGACCCCACCCCACCCTGACCACGAGCCCCGGGACAGGCTCGTCGCCCTGCTCGAGAAGGAGCTGAGAAGAGGAAAGAGCCCTGAAGGGCTGGGGGCGTGGGGGCCACACAGCACCAGCCTCTGCGGGGGAGAACGCAGGCGAAAGGGACAGGCGTAGGCAGTCCTCCTTTCCATCCGCGGCTGTCCTCTGGCCTGGACGGCCACAGAGGCGGTCGAGGTCACGCCCGGACAGGCCCTGGCATCCCGGCCTGGCTCCAAAGCGAGGGGCCAGTGTCTCGCTCCCTGGGCTGCTGGGCTTTGGGCCCGGAGTCGCCCCCACCCCGAGGGGGGGCCAGGCGCGAGCCCAGCCCTGGACGGCTCCACGGGGGCTCACTCCCGTGGCTGGCCTCCCCCCCTCCCTCCCGGCCTCTTTCTGAATCCCTCAAGAGATCCTGGGGCCTCCCTGGTGCGTCAGCCGGCGAGGGGACGGACACGGCGTGACCATCAGGGAACACACGGCGCTGTCGCCAGAGGGGCCCCCGCGCAGGGGGTGGGGACCCTGACGGGAGCGGCAGGGAACTGTCACTTCTCAGGACGGAACGCGGGGCAGGACGGGGCCTGAGACGCGCAGACGCCTCAGCGTGTCTCCGCTACCGCCAGAGGGTTTCCAGTTATTCTCGGAATCGCGACCCCACACTCAAAAGGCACAAAAAGACTGACCACGAAGGTGCTCCCAGAGGCCACCGCCACGGCCATTTCTCGGCGAGATGGCCGACCCTTCCGTTCAAACAGCTTTACCAGTGAGCGGGGGCCCTCGCTGGCGGCGCAGAGGGTTAAAGTGCTAAGAAGCTGCCACTGCAGCTCCAGTTCGATCCCCGCCTGCCCCGGAGGTGACCCCAGGGCGCGGCAGACCTCTCCTGACCCGCCCGCTGCTCCCCTCAGCAGTGGACTTCGTCCATCTGCCTGCTCCGCTCCCCGCTCTGTCTCTGGGGAAGCCTCTCGCCGCCCCTGAGCCTCTGGCCTGTACCCCAGATCTGTGTGTATGAATAAATAAATCTTAAAAAAACTGAGCAGGGGCCCGGGGGCGGGCGCAGGGGCGAGGCGGGCGCAGGGGCGAGGCGGCCGCGGCTACTCACAGTTCAGGATGATCTGGGCGGCGCGGTAGAGCTGCAGGCGGTGCAGCAGGTCCAGCAGCTGCTGGACAGTGGCCTGCCGCATGCCCCACCACCACAGCAGCTCCCGGGTGATGCTCACGCCCTGCACCCGCTCCATGGACTTGATCTTGCGCAGCTGGGTCAGGTCCGTGATCACGTAGGAGGCTGGAAGGCGAAAACAAGCGGCTCAGCAGGGCGACCCTCCCCGAGCCCCGGGGCCAGTCGGGGGCCCGGGATGCCGCACGCCAGACTCAGGAGACCCCCGGAGGGAGGACGGGCTGGGGCCGCGGAGCCTGGCATGGGCTGTAACGGGGTGCGACAGCCCCGCCGGCCACCCAACACCAGGCCCAGGGGAGTCGCTCCCCCAGGCCCTGCATCGCTTAACTGGACAGCGCTGGAGACGGGGCGACCCCGCGGTCGGGGGAGCTGGGCAGCCAGGGGCCCTGCCACCCCCGGAGGACGCAGTCTTCTCCGCCCTCCCCACGACCGCTGCGTCACTGCCCCCGGCCGGGCTCCGCACTCCCCCGCCAGCTCCCGAGCTGCCGAGTCCCGGAGGAAGCCAGTCAGACCGTTACACGCTACTTGCTGGATTTTGATTTTTTTTTTGGACCGTTCTGGTGCAGTGATGGGTGCTCCGGCCCGTCCCACTCCACTGCGCCATTTCTGGGGGCCGCGGTGCACCCAGCCCCTTCAAAGTCAGCGCCCACCCTCACTGGCTCTCCATTCCGAGGCCGGTCTGCAGGACGGTTTCGCCACACCCCAAGCTGGAGCTGCAGCCGTGTGGCCCAGGTCCCGGCCGTGCTGGGCACGGGCGGCCGTGGGCCCGCCGAGGCCTCCTCTCGGCCTGGGGGAGCAGCTCCTGCTCGCACGCGGGTGAGTCTGGCTACCGCGAACGAGGCTCTCGGCAGCCCCCTGGACACCGGGGCACATGGGCGAGGCGCTCAGAAGCTGCGCTTGACCTAGCTCGAGACCACACGTCAGGGGCAGCCTCTGCCAGGCTCCAGGGAAGCTCTGAGCTCTGCGGCCAGACGTGTGGACACGCAGCTCCCAGGCCACGGCCGCGCCAGGGCCGGGCTCACCCCTCGGAGGTTATCCTGGGGCCCGGCCCCCGGCTTCGCTGAACCTAGAGATCCTGGAGCTTCAGAGAGCTGAGAGCACCGCCTGCAGGCACACTGGTCTTCTAAGAACTTGGCTCTGGAAGGCAGACAAGCACAGGAACGGCAGACGCCCTGACACTCGCTGAGAGCTGCAGATGGGCGGCCCAGGTGTCCCCGAGCAGGCCGACAGCGGTTTAAGCGAAAGGCCTGAACAGTCCAAAATAGTCCCCTGAGAGAGTCATTGCCAAGGACTAGAGGCGAATTAAAAGGTACCTAGAGAGACCCAGACGGGCGTGAGAGACGCCTCCCGCCCTCCCCGGTGGCAGCCTCAGCCCATAACAGTAACAGTAACACAGCAAGTGGCACTTTCAATGGTCACCTGCGATCCCGCTGAGTTTACTGAAGTGAGACAAGCATTAAAAAACTGAGGGGCCCCCTGTAGTCGCAGCACGTGGCACCCACTGCAGCACGAGTTAGATCCCCGGCCAGGGAGGGACCCCCAGGGCGCCGCAGAACGCTCCTGTCCCCCCGCCGCCCCCCACAGCCGGGTGTCTCAGTCCCTCTGCCTGTGCTGCTCCCCGCTCTGCCTCTGGTGCATCCTGATCCCCCACACCTCTGGCCTGTACCCCAGTTCCGTATGCACAAATAAATAAAAATTAGTCTTTAAAAAATAAACAAAATGAAGAATAAAATAGTCGGTTCCTAGGTTTCAGAAACCCTGGCACAGGAATCCAGGTGACTCTTGCTGCAGACACCAGCAACCCAGGAGGCTTCTCCACTGAGAAATGCCTGGGCCTGGGCCCTCCCCGTGGGGCAGCGGGTTGGAGCGGGGTTGGCAGCTGAGCCGGGCCGCTGAGCACCAGTTCGATCCCCGCCCCGGAGGCGACCCCAGGGCCGGCAGACCCCTCCTGCCTCCTGCTGCCCCCTCAGCAGTGTGCTTCCTCCGTCAGCTCTGCCTCTGGTGAGTCCCCGCACCCCCCACACCTCTGGCCTGTGCCCCAGGTCTGTGTGCATGAATAAATAAATCTTTTAAGAAAGAAAAATACCAACCCCAGTGAGTGGGGCGGGGAGGGGAGGCGGCCCACGAGGAAGGCAGCAAATGCTCTTTTACGGGGCTTGGACTTGACCCTAGAGCCACGGGGGAGGGGAGAGGACGGAGCCAGGAAGTGACAAGCGGCTTTGCTCAACGCCCCGCTCCCGCTCCGAGGGAGAAGGATGGAGGAGGCCTCCGACAAGCTCCCTGTCCGGGATGGAAAATTCTCCCGTTGCCACTTTAGTCACTGGAAACCCCAGGCCGGATTCCTGGTCCCTGGGAAGTGACGTCACAGGGCTGGCCCCAGGGCAGAGGCCAAGGGCGTGGGGAGGGGCAGGAGCCTGCCACCTCCCTCCAGACCCGGGAAGGCGGGAGGCGCGGCCGGAAGCCCCCAGATGCCCGTCAGACCTCCGGTGCCTGACGCTGAGACATCAGCGCCCCAACCTCCCCTGCCACAGGAAGACAGAAGCCGGCGAGCCGCAGGGGAGGGCCCGGAATTACCCGCCGTTTCTCACACCCGCGCCCCACTGACAGGCTGTGACGGCCGCTGGAGAGCAGGCGCGGCCTGGCCGCCTCCCTGCTCACCCCTGCCCGCAGGCCCGCCGCCTGCCGCCTGCCTCCAGCCCGGTCCGACATGGGGGTTCGCCTGCCGGAGGCGAGGCCTGGGCTCAGGCCCTGCCCTCCCCGCGCTCCCGGGCCCGGGGAGCCCTGCACCCCTGTGCCTCGGTGTCCCCACGTCTGCAGGAGCGACAGCAGATCAGATGAGATCGGAAGCTCTTGGAGCATTCTGGGGCGCGGCGGAAATGTCAGCGGAGCCCTTGCGACTCCGACTTGTCCCCTGAGGCTCCAACTGCGTCTCGCCAGGAGCGGTCAGGCCGGCTGGGATTCTCTGAAGTCCCAGGTCTTCCCACGCCCGGCGCTGCTGTCAGCTCCCCCCAACCCCCCCAGCCCCCTGAAGCCCCCCCCCCGCACACACACACCCATGGCACCGTTTCCTTGGGCGACTCACGGGAGCCGAGACTCTTGCGGACCAGGACGGGAGTCAGGCGGCTCCCGAGTGGCTACTGGCTCCGGCCCCCGCCACCAGGCCCGGCACCGAGAGCTGGCTGGCCACGGGCTCAAGCCACCCCCCAGGCGGCGAGAAGGGGGTGCACCTGCACCCCAACATCCCTGCACCCTTCAGCGCCCCGCTCCGCCTGGTGATGACTCAGGCCGCCCGGGCGGCGCCGGCTCAGCCCTGGGAACGCAGGAGGTAAGCTGCTGGGGAGCTCACGGCGCGAGGAGAGACAGAGGGACCGGGGGCGGCCCCAGCCCCAAGCGGGACGACGGAAATGAAGCACGGGGGTGGGGCCCCGTGCCGGGCAGGTGGCCTTTCCGGGGGGCTGAGGCCCCAAAATCTAAGCATCCCACAAAGTCGTCAGTGTCCTACTCTGACCCGAAACTGAACATGGCTCCCTACCAGGCCACAGGGACTTTGCAGGTGCGACAGATTAATGACGGACGTGGCGATGAGGAAATGATGCTGGATCATCTGGGCGGGACCCCATGTCCTCACCGGGGTGTTTGTAAGAGGGAGGCGAGGCCAGGTTTGGGGATGTGATGAGGAAGCAGAGATCGGGTGAGACACCGTCCCGACAGCGAAGCAGGGGCCGAGGGATTCGGGGTTCGCC